GCTCCTCGGCGTCCGCCCTCCCGGCCAGGCCCAGGTAGATGTCGAGGTCGAGGTCGAGGTCGCGCCGCCGCCCCTCCTCCAGGCCCCGGAGCCTGGCCCCGTCAGTCCGGAGTTTTGCACCCGGAGGCCAAGACCTCGGTTTCTCCGTCAAGTCTTTGGTAAACAGAGAAGAGAGAGTAATCACACTTTCCCCCGCCGCAGTACCGGTCTGCAATTTCTTCTCTTTGCAAGCATTACAAGAGCTCTTCTCTGACCGATTGTGCTGGGCCAACCTGGCCTCGAATCTGTGGTCCGTGACCGAAGACTTCTCTCTCTGAGCATCGACTTTCCGGTGGTCGTTCTCAAGGTCTGATAAACACATGGCACTGCTACAGTGGCGTGACCAAAAATAAATAAAGGAATGCATAAAAGCCAGGCTCTTACCAGCACTTCCTACCGCAACGCCACCCATCCCTCTGCTGTCCGGAGCAGACCCCGAAGGAGGCCCGACTGCCCACTATGCCTTATTACCTGAGTAACAAAGACAAACAGACAAACAAACAAAAACCCCTCAAGAATACTATAAATGCGACGAGCCAACTTAGCACGCCTTCCTTCGGGTTTTACATCCTGTGTGAGGCCCCCATCACTGTCCCGCCTTCCGGAGCCCTCTGATGCTCCTAAGGAGCGAGGCCAGCTCCTCTGGTGCCTTCATGGCAGTGAAGTCCAAAGTGGAGACAGCCAGCTGGTCGGGTCTGTGGCGGGGCAGCTGGGACACAGGGACAGGTAACGGCCCACAGCCAGCCTGGGTTGCAAAACTCAGCACCAGGTTAGGCTGCAGCCCTGCCTCCTACTCCCCTTCCTGCTCCGACTCCTCTGTCCCTGGAAAGGAGCCCGGTCAGTGTGGGTGCAGCCCGGACCCATGAGTGCAGTCGCGCGGAGCTTCCCCAGTCCCCCTTCCTTTTCCTGAACTGCTTGGGAAAGCAGACTAAATTGAACTGTGGTGCGGTTATATGCCTGTTTGATTCAACTACACTTTATATATACATTTTATATTATATTTACATTTTCATTTTACAGAAACTCATTTAATTCCTGAACCACTTGTTACTAGTTAGGGAAGATCTCCGCTGTTAGCAAGGCAAACAGTTGGGCATGGTGGTGCACGCCTGGAATCCTAGCACTGTGGGAGGCTGAGGCAGGACTGCAAGTTCGAGCCCAGCCTGAGCTTCTTAGCAATTTAGTGAGAACTCACTATGTAGCTGTCTCCACACTAAAAGGATAAATAAATGCGTAGGTAAGAAGGGCATGGTATGAGGAGGCAAACAGGAAAATCAGGCTAACAGCAGAGACCCCTCAGAGCTGAGCGGAGGCTGCGTTATTTCTCAGTGGCAGGCACCGCGTACCACACATCTCCGTGCTCCCTACCCTAAACACTGCATGTGCGGAAAGAAAGGAAGGAGGGAGACCGGTCGTCTCCGTCGTTCTTACTCCAGCTCAAGCCTCCTAACAACAGACACACATCTTTACCAGCCTGCTGCATTAGGGCCATGCCTCAGTTCTCAGAACAGGTCTTTCCACTGGCCTGGGATTATGATGATAATGTAGCTTACAAAGATTTATTTCCCCATATGAGGGACGAGAGTAGGCCCTGGCTATGGTAAGCACAAAGTAAACCCTGATCTAATGATGAAATCAAACAGGAGACCATATTCATAGCATCTGCTAAGATTACCTGGATTCCAGGGTCTTTGATTCCTCCATCTTTGAGTCACATATCTGTATAAATTGCTGAGAATTTTCCACATTGAAATTAAGAAACTGAAGATCACTCTGTTGCTTTACATAAATCTGCCAGATATTGAGAAATCAAGATAAAGGGTAATAACCAACTAGAATGAACCACAATTTGGCACTTTTAAAAGCCTAAAACAGTTCAGTTAGCGGCTAAGAAAAAGCTAAATATGCGCGTACTAAGCTTTGCCGGAGGGCTGATCTCCTAACCTTTGCTCATGGTAAGCCAAGCCCTCCCTGCTGTGCCCCACCATGGCTAATGCCATTCAGACTGCAGAAGCACCCTAAGCGGGATCAGCAGCCAGACGGCTTCCTAGATTGTTCCCCAACATTTCCTGCCCCTACAGAAGGACGGCCGAGGGCGCACCTGTCTCAGATTATGGAGTTCTGAGTTCGTACGTTCTTGCTTTGACTTGGCAATATCCAGTAGCTCGTCTTTCCTCTTTTCTCTCTCCACTGTTTGAGAAGGAAGATTATTGAACATTTTTTATCAGCTAAATCAGTACGAGTCACTCCATTTTGTTTTTGTTTCCTTTTTTTTGTTGTTGTTTTTTGAGACAGGGTCTCACTATGTAGTTGAGACAGACCTGGAACTCATTATGTAGCCCAGGCTGGTCTCGAACTCACAGCAATCCTGATCCTCCTGCCTCAGCCTCCCAAGTGCTGGGATTATAGGCATGTGCCACCACGCCAGGCAACTCGTTCCATTTTGAACAATTTAACAGGTAACGCTGTTTTTGTTTGTTGTTCCTGCTTTGTTTTATTTCTTTTCTAGTACTGGGGAATCAAACTCAGGACCTTGCACTTTTTTTTTTTTTTTGGTACCAGGGATTGAACTTGGGTCCTTGCACTTTTAAGGCAGCTGCACAGCCACTGAGCTAAATACTTGGCCCTTTTGTTGTTGTTCTTGGACTTAAAATTGCAGGATGGTTGATAAAGAAGAGCTTTCATCTGTGGTTCTGACTAGATCCTTCGTGAGATGGGGAGCCTCATGGCGTAATTAATGCTAAGTTGAAAATGAATTTGAAAATACATGTGTGGTAAGACGTGGTGGCACTCTAGAGGCCGAGGCAGAAGGATCAAAAGTTCAAATCCAGTATGGGCAACTCAGTGACTTAAGACCCTGGCTCAAACCGAAACACAAATTTATAAGGAGCTGGGGATGCAACTCAGTGCAAAGGCCCTGGGTTTGACCCACAGTACTGCCCAATAAATAAATAGATAAATGAGAAGGTGTGTGTGTTTGTATGTTATTATGCCCTAAAAGGCTTGAAAGCAAGTATACCAAAGTACTAAGACATGATTTTTAGGGGTTGTGGGTAGCTACTCTTAGCATGCATGAGGCCCTGGGTGCAATCCCAGCAGTAAAAGCACCACAAGAAAGAACCTTCAAAAAGGAAAGACTCCAGGGACTGCACCAGGGCATATGTTGATGTTATACTTAAGCAGAAGTCATGTGGCTTGCACTGCACGCAGCAAAGATATTTGTTTGAATATAACATCACCTGAACAAAAAAGCCAACATCTTATTGTTTTTGGTACTGAGGAATGAACCCCAGGTCTTCACACTGAACTATATCCCCAGTCTATGTCCCTCTTTTTTCAATTTTGAGATAGGATGTCATTAGGTCATTGAGTTGCCCAGGCTGGGTTCAAGCTTGTGATCCTCCTGCCTCAGCCTCCCGGGGTGCTGGGATCGCAGGTGTGCACTGCCACACCCCGCCAGGCCAACTATTTTAGGGGGATTTTAAATATATTTGAATTTTGCTTTAATCTCTGATTTTAGAATAACCTATTGTTGCACGAGGCAACTCCTCTGTCATCACCTCCTCCCTAGTTCCCCGGGCTCGGCTGAGGGGGAAGAGTGCAGAGTCTGCTGGACCCTGAGCACACTCAGCGCGAGCCCAAGGGAAAGGGCACCGAGTTCGAGTCTGACTGGATGCCTCCCTTTCACTGGCTGAGAGGCTGGGACAAGACCTTGAAGGAAGGAACCCTTGTTACAGGTCTGCCAGCATCAGACACCCTTCCCTTTGCACTCAGTGCACTGTGTACAAACAAGCAGACTGTGCCCACAGCACTGTGGGAAGAACTTCATCTTGAATAAGAGGAAAAAGTTTTGAATTTTTAAAAAGTAAAATCTCAAGACTCTTTTTTTTTTGGTACCAGGGATCGAACTCAGAACCTGACGCTTGCAAGGCAGCCATGGTGCCACTGAGCTAAATCCCAGGCTCTCAAAACATCTTTTAACTTCAGGTAAAATGTGTCAACTTTTAACCATAGCACCTAGAACATACTATCGTCTTAAGCCTTTTATATTTATTTTTTACTTAATTCACTCATAATTAAAATATACACAGCAGGCACAGTGGCACATGCCTGGAATTCCAGCACTTAGGAGGCTGAGGCAGGAGGATCATGAATTCAAGGCCAACATGGGCCACACAGGGAGTTCCAGGCCAGCATGGCCAACAGGGTGAGACCATGTCTCAAAAACAAAATGAAATCAGCTTTGGAAATGACTTTCAAAACTATTTCACAAAATCTGGTATTACTTAACAGATCCCATGCATTCTACCTAGTTATACGTAGTGGGAGACTCAGCTGGACGTGGTGGGGAGCACTTACACTTCCAGCTATGTGGGAGAAAAACAGCTTGAGCCCAGGAGCTGAGGTGTCTCAAGCAAGACCTCTTCTCAGGAAATAAAAAATAAATAGAAGAGCCAGGGATTTAGCTCAGTGGTGCTGTGCCTACCTGGCAAGCACAATGTCCTGAGTTCAATTCCCACTACTGAAAAGAAATAGATAAATAGAAATGCTCTGAGGCCCTCTGAGCTTCTCAGCATCAGCAGAGCGTATGGCACACGATGCTGATACCAGACTGAATTCAGCTGTAAACTACAAGCCCGGTACTGTACGTCAAGGGCAGTAACCCGACACAGCAATCCTAGAAGCAGTGGAACAGTGCCCCCTAGTGGTAGAAAACTGCACTCCTTTCCCATCTGTAAACATAAAATGAAATGCTTTGTATTTGAAAATTTTATTTTTTAATTTTTTATTCTTTTGGTTTTTTTGAGACAGGGTCTCACTATGTAGTTGAGACTGACCTGGAACTCACTATGTAGCCCAGGCTGGTCTCGAACTCACAGCGATCCTCCTGCCTCAGCCTCCCGAGTGCTGGGATTACAGGTGGGCACCACCATGCCCGGCTAAAAAATTTTAAACGTAATAGTGTTTCCCTTTTTAATTTGAGGGAACTTGTTCTCTTCCTAGGAAGGAGATTTAGGATAGCTTTAAGATTCTGAGCTTGGTTCGTCATCAATCCCTCAATTTTCTTTAGAAAAAAGAAAACCAAAAACCTACTAAAAACCTTCCAGAGAGGTATACTTCCTTTTGCTGGTCAGATAGTGTTAGGGGAGATGAAGGTTACAGATGTAACTATTCAATCACTTAAGCTGATTATTTTTACCAGTGAAGATCAGTTCATCATGCAGACAGCTCTTCTCTTGCTTGAGGCGAATGATCTCTTCCCGCTGTTCGTTGTTTTCTGTTGTCTTTTCATTTAGATCCTCTTCACAAATGGAGGGGGGGAAAGGCCTCAAATAAACACTACTTTCCTTAGAAGAACCCTCCACAGCCCACACCACAGTGGTCCCAGGATTGGCAAAGTCCTCCCGGGTCTACAGCCCATACTTGGCTGTGGCCTTGGTCCTCAAGTGGCCCCGGCTCTGGCTCTGCCTCTCTCGCGGGAACACAGGGGACACAGAGCCGTCTTTAATGATAAAAGCTGCTCATGTCTGTCCTCCTGCCCCACCCTGGATGAAACCCAAGCTCCCAACCTGACTGGCACAGCCAGAGGCCCCGCCCTGCCCTGCTCTCAGCTCTGATGCTTCAGTGGTACAAGAGGAGATATACTTGGGTATTGTCCTGTTTCCAGCAAAGAGCTTCTACTTGTACTGCTCATGGAATTTCCCGAATGACAGGGGTGTCTCTGCCAGGGCCCCTCTGCGGGCAGCCTCGGGATGGGATGGTCACCAAGGAGGCCTGGGCTGTGGCAAGGAGAGAGGTGCCTGGCTTGGGGATCGCTTGGGGACAGCTGCTGGGCACAGGGCTCTGAGCACGGAGCCATCCCTTCCGTCTGTGCTCGTGAGTGGTATCCTTGATGATATCCAGGAAAAAGGAGGGAAAGCATCTCCCTGAATTTGGGAGCCATTCTAGAAATGACAGCCTGAAGTGGTGTAGAACCCCTGACTTAAAGCTGGTGGCCCAGAAGTACAGGCGACACCTGGACTGGTGACTGGGGTTGAGAAGTGGGGCAGTCTCGGGGGGCTGAGCACCCCAGCCTGGGCTGATTCTAACTCCAGGTGAGCGCTACTGGACTGAGCGGAACATCTGCCTACCCAGCTGTACCAAATGGAGGACTGGCTGGTATCAAAGGAAAAACCCACGGGGGCTGCTGCCTTTGCCGTTCCTGCTGCCCGAAGGTTCCTGGCCCAGGTCCTCACGTGCTGTTCTGCCCAGCATCCACTTCCGGCTCCAATGGCAGCTTTGCAACCTGGCCTTCCCCGTCTGCCCAACTGAACGAGCGAGCCTTTCTCCCTCGATCTCTGTTCCACTGCCCTTTATCCTGCTTTCCTTATTTATTTTTTCATTTCTAAATTTTCCTACTCTCTTTGTCTTTTTTTTTTTTTGGTACCAGGGATCAAACTCCGGTCGTTGTGCTTGCAAGGCAAGTGCAGGCAACAGAACCACTGAGCTAAATCCCCGGGCCCTGCTTTCCTTATTTAAAATGCTCTTAATAAACATCGAACCTTATAAAATATTCATAATATATATTGACACGCCAGGCTTCACCTACCCCAGTGTCTTCCAGACAGCATAAAGATCAGTGAGCACTGACACCCACACCAGGGCCCCAGGGCTGTGCTTGGACTGCTGACCCCAACAGGAGGGGACAGCCTGTCCCCGGGCCACCGGCTGAGAACACCATTAAGGTTTTAGCTGGAGCTACAAATGCTATTTACCACAGGTCAGGGCATTGTAAGGTCCAGAGTTCAGAACGGAGCCTTTTTCAATTAAGTCAGCCAAGATAAAATTTCCTAATTTCAGAGTTTTTTTCCTAGGAGATGTGAAAGGTCCGTTAGCTCAGGATGCAGGAACCCCTCCGTGCCAATGCCTGTCTTGCAGAAACCCAGGAGGAGTAAGCCACTGCCTCATGGGGTGAAGCCACCCTGAGCAGGCCAGAAACAACAACCCCGGGCTGTGCGCTGTCATGCTTCTAAGGTGGCTCATTCCATAGTGCAGTTGTCATCTGGTACAGTGGTCATTTATAAAAGATAAAAACTCACTTTAGCCAGGTGTGGTGGTATATGCCTAAAATCCCAGTACTCTGGTAGGCTGAGGCAGGAGGATCCCAAGTTTGAGCCCAGATGGTTTCATAATTAAAGAAAAGAGCTGGGAATGCAGCTCAGTATGAATGCAGCTGGGTTCGATCTCTAATACTGTTTTAAAAAAGTGATACGGTAAGCAGATTTAAGATTAAAGGGGTAGCTCATCCATCTAACCATTTATTCTGCTTCTCACAGCAACCTGGCCCTCTGCAGAAACACAGAGAAAAGTGGGGCTACCTCTGTCCTTTGTAGATGAATGTTTTTGTTTTGTTTTGTTTTTGGTACCAGGAGCCGAACTCAGGACCTTGCGCTTACGAGGCAGGTGGTGGAACCACTGAGCTAAATCCCCAGTGTAGATGAATGTTTACCCCATCGCCTACCTATATCCACGTTTACAGAGAAAGCCCTAGATACAGAAAGCCATCCCGAGGCCTTTGGCATGCCCTGACTTCATTTCGCTACAAAACTTCCAGCGTCACGTAAGCAGAAAGGAATGGATCATAGCATCATTGAGAGCGACAAGAGAAAAGAACCCAAGCGGAATGTGCAGAAATGAAACATGCACCCCAAAGGACACTCTGGTAGTGGCAATCCTTCGCCCCTCCCTGCATGTGCTCCCCCACAGAGCTCAGACCACCATGATTTTTCCTTGGATTTAGCCACATGGCTGACTTCAGCCCACAGAAGGAGACAGAGGTGACAGTGTGTCAGGTTCAGAGCCGAATGTTCTTTGGTTTTTGAGGCAGGGTCTCACTATGTAGCTCTGGCTGGCCTCAAACTCACAGCAATCCTCCTGCCTCAGCCTCCCAAGTGCTGGGATCACAGGTGTGCACCACTGCGCCTGGACATTCAGGCCTGAATTTTAGGAGGCTCAGAGTTCTGCTGGTTCTCCTCAATTTGTACCCTCACCCTGGAAGAGGTGCCCAGGCCAGCCTCTGGGGAGAAGGAGAGGAGCTGAGTCCGGGCCCATGTTGACTGCCCCCCACTGTGACAGTAACGGATGCCAGGACTCAAGCGGAGGCCTGCTGTTGCTCAGCAGTGATCTGCGTAGCTAGCTGGTACAGACACCCAAACAAAGGCAGATTATTCTGAAAATATGATGCATTATGCAGTGTACCCACTTCTGTTATTTATCGTATAACACAGAAATGGCAGCATAATTCTATATAAATGAAACAAATTTCACAAATAGGCATACTCTCAAGTATAAGATTAAGTGAATGCAAGTAAAGAAATATATTTCCAAGATAACATATGACTTTTTTTTTTTTGTACTGGGGATTGAACGTGGGTCCTTGCACTTGCAAGGCTGGCAGCGGAACCACTGAGCTAAATGCCCAGCCCCAACATATTACTTTTTGTTTGTTTGGTTTTTTTTATTTTGTTTTTTGAGACAGGGTCTTGCTATATAGCCCAGGCTGGCCTTGAACTCTAAATCCTCCTGAGTGCAATATATTACATCTTAAATTTAAGTCTCTTTCTTACCTTTTAGTTTATTGACTTCAATCTTGAGTGCCTTCAACTTCTGTTTATAGTCTTGCTTTTCTTTCACAATAGAATTCTCCACCATCTTGGCATCACGCAAAGCATGCTCTAGCAATTTAAATTTACCCGAACAATCTGCAATGTGATTGACGGCCTCGATAATATCTTTGTCCTAAAAACCAAGTTTGAAAACTGTTATGCTACATTTTAAAAAAATTCTTTGTACCAGGGATCGAATTCGGGTCCTTGTGCTTGCGAGGCAGGTGGCGGAACCACTGAACTAAATCCCCGGCCCCTGTTACGCTACATTTTAAAACTAACCCATCAGTAAAAGATTACATTTATTTAGATCTTGCGTGATGGGTTTCGTTCTAAGCACTGCTTGTGTTAACTCAGTTCATCTTTAGTCACAGGATCATGTACGTACTGTTGTCATCGCCGTGTCATTGCCGAGTGACACATGAGTCTCAGACACAAAGAAGCGCTGTTACTGGCCCACAGTCACACAACTAGTAGCCCTGGAGCCACCGTCTGAACCTAGCTGGTCGGCCTCAGAAGCCATGTTTTGCCACTAGCCCTGAATGTATCCCGGAAAGTTTAGGACCAGTTGGGTTACCTAGGAGACTGGTGCAGCAAGAAATTATTCTCTGGATTACAGCTAAATCCCGAGGGTATGCTGTTTCCTCCCTTCTTTCAGTTTGTTAAACCGCAGACTCCAAGACTTCATCTCAAACCTAGCCAAGTTAGAATCTCTATTGTTGAGGTTTTCTGAATTACCAAAAAGTTATCTGGCTGTTTGAAAAGCAAATTCAAGCAATATCTAAAGGTCTGAAATATGCCAGGCGTGGTAGCTCTCATTTGTAACCCCTGCATAAGACTGAGACAGTAGGATCGCCTCAGGTTCCAGGTCAGCCTGGGGTACCCAGTGAGTTCAAGGCCAGCTTCAACTAGGTAGTGAGACCCTGTTTCAAAAAAAAGAAAACAAACACAATCCTTCCCCCACTCACCTGGAATAATTATTATCAACAAGTTTTCCCTCACAGTGCGTTTCTGCTGCAGTATTATCTATGTGTTCTGGAAAACCTGTCCGACAGCTCACACCAGGGTGACTTCTGAGGACAACAGGGTTGGGGAAGCCCACTCAAAACCAGTGGGACCAGTGTGAGGAGGCCAGCAGCAAACAAAACCTGTGCCTAATCAACTCATGAGCACAGTTAAACACTCTGCCCGGTTCTGCTGAAACCTGCAGCCCCTGCCTCCTCCTTTGCTAGGAGGTCCCAGAGGACATTCGCTTCCACCAGAGATCACGTTCCTCAAAACACAAACTAATTCTGGGCAAGATGCTGTCCATGAATCCCCTGCTCCGATGTGGGCGAAACGTCTCCACGGCCCATCGTCGGTACTCACGGCCCTGCCGCACAGTCTGCTGTCACGGACGGCAGGGCGGTTGTTGAGGCCCCTGAAGTGGCCACTATTTAACTAAAGCAATTCCTGTAGATTGAATAGGTTTCTCTTTTAAGAGAGCTTGGCCATGACCACGTGAAAACATCAGCCTGCTGGGAAAGTGCATGTGTTTTCCATGACACTGACGTCATTCCCCGGGGTACCGAGTATCAGGCACGAGTGTGAGGCCGAGGCCATGGAGCACCGTGCACCCACATCGGTGGCTGTGTCGACCCCCTGGTTGCTCACAGTTTCTCGTCCCATTTAGTGGAAACAACTAAGGAGCACTGTGACTGCAGTAACCTGAGATCTCCTTCCTGGGAAGGAGCCCGCTGGTTCGGGAGCGGCCGGCCGCAGCAGGTCCTGTCTCCTAGCTAGATCATTTGGGGATCTGAAGCCTGTTTCTCTAATTTCTAAGGCAATCAAGGACAGCGTCTTCGGCAGCTCCGCATTTCTGGGCTGCTGGAGCCCTCAGCTGGGATAATGTATTTGTAAGCTACAAAGCGCTCTGGCCGAGTGAAGGGGTAACTATTTTTAATTACCTTCAGCTTTATCATTGTAGTGAGAGCCTGTTCTCTAGCTTGTAATTGTCCCACCTGAGCAGAAAGCTCCACCAATGTGCTGCTGAGATTCTCGTTTCTAGCCTACAAGGGAACAACAGAAAATACCAATGAGTCTTTTGCAAGAAGTCTTTTCGTGACCATCATTAGCCGTGATCTATGTTCATTTCTTTACTTTATTTTTATTTAAATTTTTTCAGGAGCAAAGTGGGTTAAATAGTCATCAAAAAAGAATACAAATGCAGTGGACCCTCGAGTTACAACTGGCCTCATATATGAACAACTTGGGTTATGACTAGAATCTTAGTTTTAACTTATGACCAAAGTCCTGAGTTACGACCCACATGCTGGCCGCTTTGCATCCAGATGGTCTCAGACACAGCTGTGACCCTTAAAGAGCTCTGGAAGGAGCATGGCCGCTTCCTCTCCTGTGCGGGGTTCACTGAGAAATCCCGGGCCGGTGCCTCTCTAAGGACCCCGAGATCTGCCTGTGGACAGGAGAGAGGCTTTGAAGGCTGAGCCTTCACTGACCGACTTGACTTACAACCAGCCTTGGGGAATGAGCTGAGTTCATAAGTCAAGGGTCCACTGTCTCCATTTCCCCATGAACTCCTCTCACTCCTTGTCACTGAATTACATTGGCTCTGTCTGTAAACATCTCTGTTACCTAATATTTTGATGTATAATGCTAGGTTGTATACGTGTAATCATGTAATTTCAGGTTGTTATGTATAATTTTATAATATATAATTATGTATAATTTTAGAAGGCAGAAAAATGAATGAATGCCAACTGGGTAAGAGATTTTCTTCCACGAAATTAAATAGCATTAATGAATTCTGTTCATCTTTTTAAAGGGCTGGGAGGACTTCACACTGGGGTCCGGACACACACTGTTTTCACCTGCCAGAGCCCCACACGAGGTGAGACATGAAGCGTGAGCGCTTCTGTAAACGGTGCTGTGCCTGTGTAGGACACTGACAAACGCTGAGGTGTGGGCGTCAGCTGGGGAGCCCCGTGCGGGGGATGCAGGCTTGCGCAGGAAGGCCCTGTGCAGCCCGTCCAACCGCGCTGCGAACCTAAAACTGCTCGAAAACAGTTCACTAATGAAAACGACACCTCCTTCAGGGCCGTGGATTTAGCTCAGTGGTTCCAGTGCCTGACTCACAAGCATAGGGACCCAAGATTGATGACCGGTGCCAAAAACAAAAAAAGACAAAAACCCAGACACCTCCTTCTGTCATCCGACATATCAGTAGATTCTACAGTAGTTTGTTATTTTACAGCTAGAAACTATCAGAATAGCATTCTAGAAAAGGGCCCTAAAATAAGCTCTATTCTCTTATTAAGGGTTATTAGGACTCATTACATTATCACGGCTTATACAGAATAATATTAAGAAACAGTTATATGAAGGATGTAACAAAACCAAAGCTGGCTTTTTCTCTGGGCCTCTCATAATGAATGAGCTCAGAAAATAGATGATGACAGCTGGGCATAATGGCAGGAGCCTGTAATCCCAGCAGTCTAGGAGGCTGAGGCAGGAGGAACGCCATGAGTCAGAGCCAGCCTGCGCTACATATGGAGAGCCTGTCTCAAAAAAAAACAAAATAAACCGGGCGTGGTGGCACACACCTGTAATCCCAGCACTCAGGAAGCTGAGGCAGGAGGATCACTGTGAGTTCGACACCAGCCTGGGCTACATAGTGAATTCCAGGTCAGTCTCAACTATATAGTGAGACCCTGTCTCAAAAAACCAACAACAACAACAACATAAAACAAAAAAGAAATATATAAACAGGCCAGTTAGAATTCAAAACTAAAAGATCAGGAGCTGGAGATTTATCTCAGTGGTTCTGCCACCTGTCTCACAAGCACAAGATCCTGAGTTCATTCACACCCCCCCAAAAAAAAACACTAAAAGATCAGACTTACAGATTTTTTTCCCAATGTGGTAATTCTACTATGGTATAGGTATGTTTATCATATTAGATAAGACTCAAAATTTAGAAAGCAGAATTTGAAGCTACTGAAATTTGATGATACTCATTTCAGACTTTTTTTTTGGTACCAGGGATTGAACTTGGACCCTTTTGATTCCAAGGTAGGTGGTGGAACCACTGAGCCAAATCCCCAGCCCCTCATTTCAGACTTTGAAAAGGTTTTCAATAATAACGCATTGTAAATAAAATGGCAGATGCTCCCAAACCAAATGACAAAACAAGCAGGGGTTGCAAGGAAGCTTGATCTCCAGAACAGGGCAGCGATGTGCAGATTCCCCAAACAGTCTTGCTGTGTAGTTCAGCCTGGCCTTGAGCTTACTATGGAGCCCACGCTGGTCTCGATCTCACAGTGATCCTCCTGCCTCAGCCTCCGAAGTGCTGGGAGCACAGGCGTGCGCCACCACATCCAGCAATCAATCTAAATGTTTAATAACGGAAGCACAAAATGTGGGGTGGTGAAACTTCTCCAAAGATAAAACCAACCTCAAGGTCCTCGGAGAGAAGGGAAGAGTGTGTTGCCTTTTGAGCCATCTCCTGCAGCTGTAGCTGAGTCTTCTGGAGAGCTGTCTGACATTCGATTTGATTGGATTCCAGGACCTTGACCTTCTTCATGAGTGATCTGATTATTTCTGTTCTTTTATGTAGTTCACCTGAGGGAAATTTCACCACCTTATTTGTGGTTGGATCTGAAGCTTGAAATATAGCATTTTCAAAGTCAGTAGTTAAAAAGCAAAAGTGGGGCTGGGGATTTAGCTCATTGGTTCCAGCACCTGCCTTGCAAGCACAAGGACCTGAGTTCGATCCCCGGTATAAAAAAAAAGCAAAAATGTGCCAAAGAATTTTAGAGGACAATTCTTTTCAAACGTTTGACTGTGAGATGCACAATACTGTACTTCAGGAAACGACACTGGCAGCAACACTGAAGGCCCCTGGGGGTCACATCCCGGATATAACCTCTCCCATTTCATTTCCAGACCTCACCCTGATTGCAATGCTTTCCTTGCTTTTCATTACTGTTCTTCTCTGACTACGTTCCTAAAAGTATAGTTTAATTTGAACCATATGTAGATGGAGATATACTGAATGATTCATCTACTTGCTGCTTTCATTTAAGATTATGATCATGATCCTGCACCTGCCTGGCAAGCAAAAGGTCCTGAGCTGGATCCCCAGGACCAAAAGAAAGACTGTGATCTGAGATTCACCCACACTGCTGTGTGTAACTCGTGTTTGCCATTAACACTGCCATAGTAGTCCAATGAATGATTCCACCAAAATTTATCCATTCTATTATTGCTGGTCATGTGGGTTTTTTCCTCTTCACAGCTATTATAAGTAATGCTGCTACAAATATTTTTTACATGAATCTTCGTGCCTATTTGTAAGTTTCTCTAGAACCCTGCTACTCAAATACGGTCCTTGAACCAGCAGCCATAGCATCACTGGGGAATTTGCTAGAAATAGACACTTTTGGACTCCAAACCTATTGTATCAGATTGTTGTTCATGCTAAGAACTGAACTCAGGGCCTCTAAAATGCCAAGCATAGCCAGATGTGGTGATGCACACCTGTAATACCAGGACTAGAGAGGCTGAGGCAGGAGGATTGCTGTGAATTTGAGGTCAGCCTGGGTCACATAGTACAAGGTCAGTCTGAACCACATAGTGAGACTATTTAAAAAACAAAACAACAACAAAAACCTCAAAAATGCTAGCACACACTGTTCCACTAAGCTAAACCCCAACCCAGATCTCCACCCTGGTAAGCTCTCAGGCAGCTCACCACACAGTGTGAATGTGAGAAGTGGATTTTCTGGGTGTCACCGCCGGAAAACGTTCCACCTGCTGGACGCTCTCACAGGATCTGTGTCTCCAACTTGACTAACACTGGAATGATTTCCCAAAGGAGATGTGTCAAGTGACTCCTCCCAGCAGTGGCGAAATCTTCCCTGGGCTCCCTGTCCCTGTGCCAGGTGCTAACAATGCCCAACCCTCATTGGCTCTCAAGATCAGACACAACAGGGGCATTTTTGGGGGTGGTAGGCTCCACATCTTTACCAAAATCTGGTAATTTTTACCAGTCTGGTAAATGTAAAATGGCATTCATTATGGTTTTAATCTGTATTTCCCTAATTACTAATGGTAACTTTTAAATATATTTATTGGCCATTTAATTTTTCTCTTTCCATGAAGTGTCTGTTCTCTTGCTCATTTTATCACATACACATGTGTGCATGCAGGCATGGGTGCATTTATCTATCTACTCATCCATCCATTTACTGTGATAGCACAGGTTGAACCCAGGACCTTTGCACTGAGCAACATCTCCAGCCCTTTTTTATCTTTCATTTTGAGATAAGGCCCACCCTAAGAGAGTTGCCCAGGCTGGGCTTGAACTTGAGGTCTCCCTGCTTCAGACTCCCAGAGTGCTAGGATTAGGAGGTGTGTACTACCATGCTCACCTCATTTCTTTTTCAAGCAATTATTTTAAACGCTTATGTGTAGTTATGTGTGTGGCTGTGGGCATGGTCAGAGCAAATTTCAGATGATCATCAAAGATGGAAAAATTTTATATATATGTCATACTTAAATTACCTTTATGTAATACAAGGGGAAAAGATGCTACATGATTATTAAACAGATCTAGTGTTTTCCACTCTAGAGTATTCAAGTAATTATTTAGGACACGGGACTGAGGGCAGCACTAAAAGGATGGCAAAATTAAAATATGGTGCTAAAGAAAATGTATACAAGCTGTTTGAGAATGCTACACATTAAAAAGACAACCATTTTAGGTATTGAGCCGCAGGTTCAACGCCAAAAAATTAAACTAAGTGTGCTCCAGAGAAAGGGCCAGCGAGCGACGCCGCAGCCCTCTTCCTAACCCTGCCCAGAGTGGCTTCTCCTTAATCACCGGGCTCTCCCCGACCCCCTCCCTGCGGCTGTTCTTAAGGTGTGAACCGCGCTACAGGGTGGGTTCTAGTCCCGTGCTGCCCTCCCCACCCAGGGCCTCCCGACAAGGGGCGCGGCGAAGGGCGCCCCCTGCCGCCGGGTGCGTGCGTGTCCGACCTTCCAGCTTGCTGCAGCGCTCCTCCAGGGTCAGCACTTTCTGGCGGTCCTCCTCCCAGGACAGCAGCTGCCTCTGGTGCACCGCCACCATGTCGTTGAGCTCTTTATCCCGATCTTTTAATTCTCCGATGAGCAGCTGCAGCTCCTTGCGCTGTTTCTCAATAGTGGAATTCTCGACTTCTGACCCGATCTTCTAAACACGGGAAGAGGTTTTTCATAAAAAGAAAACTCGGTAACGTAAATCAGCCAAGGAGTATTTTCCAAATAATAATTTTTTTTTGTTGACCGTTTTAAGCAGTTAAATTTTACTCCTGTTAATAACAATGCATCAAATTACATATGATGCCCGTTCAAACCTAGCAGGCACCCTACCACGATCACATCCCAGCATAGCACAAGTAAGGCTGTGTCTAAACCAGGCGCTTAATCCCAGCACTCAGGAGGCTGAGGCAGGAGGATTATTTCGAGTTCCAGGCCAGCCTGGGCTACATAGTGAGTACAACATCAGGCTGAACTACATAGTGAGATCCTGCCTCAAAAAAACAAAGCAAAACAAAACAAAACAAAAGGAGAAGAACAACAACAAAAAAAGAAAGAAAGAGAAGAACAGGAAAAAAAGTCAAGACTTTTGAAAACCTCTCCTGGTAAATAACAAATACATATATTTCTGCTTTTATTCCCACCTTTGCTATCAATCAACAATGCTATCCCCACCTTGCCCCAGCAATTTTATTATGTGGTGCTGAGGATTGAACCCAAGGCCTTGTGCATGCGAAGACCACATTCTACACTGATCTATGTCCCCAGGTCCTGCTCAGCAGTTCTGGAGTAATAAAATAAGATAAACGTGAAATGCTATTTAAATGTAAATAATTCTTATTAAAGAAAGGACATTTTAGTTTATGAAGATGATTAAACCCTAAATATCTACTTCAACTTTAGCTGGGATATCAACATACTGTATATTTAATCTACTAAGAACAATTTAATATTATTACTGATCCAAACTCAAAAACAAAATTTGTAGCTGCATGTGGTGGTCATGCCTTTAACCCCAGCACTCTGGGACACTGAGACAGGAGCACTGCAAGTCTGAGCACAGCCTGGCAACCTGTCTCAAAATTTAAAAAATTAAAACAGCTGGGGATGTAGTTCAGGGTTGAGCACTTGCCTAGAATGTACCAGGCCTTGAGTTTAATCCCCAATACCACAAAAAAAATTTTTTTTGCTATATCTGCTTGGTTTCCTTTCCATTATTTATAAAAAACACATCAATCCTCTTTATATGCTTCCATATCCATATCTAAAAATGAGCATTCCTTATATAGTTATGATGCCATTTTCATTCATAATATATGTGTGTGTGTGTGTGTGTGTGTGTGTGTGTGTGTGTGTATATATATATATATATTTTTTTTTTTTTTTTTTTTTTTTTTTTTTTTTCTGGTACCAGGGATCAAACTCAGGACCTTGTACTCGCAAGACAGGCAGGGCACCACTGAGCTAAATCCCCAGCCCCTACCTAGCGATATTTTTTGAGACAAGGTATCACTATATTGTTCAGACTGGCCTTGAGCTTACTATGTAGCCCAGACTGGCTTTGGCCTAGTGGCTTTGGCCTACTGCCACTGTCTCTGCCTCAGCCTCCCGAGGGCTGGGATTACAGGCATGTACCACCACACGTGGGTTTACCTAACAATATTACCTACAATAATTTCTCCCCGCCCCAAAGCAGTACAGAGTTTGAGTCCAGCTTTCCACTGGACTATATCCTGTTTTTTTTACGGGGGGGCTTTGTTTTGTTTCTTGGTTTTTAGAAATAGTTGCCAAGGACAGACTAAAATTGGGACTCCTCCTCCTGCCTCACCCCCCAGAGTGCTGGGATTTTAGACATGTGCCACCAGGCTGAGTTCACAATAATTACTTTTAATCATACATCTTTTTAAAATCTTTTTCTGGGGAGGTACTGGGGATCAAACTCAGGACCTTGTGCTTGTGAGGCAGGTGCAGTGCCACTGAGCTATATCCCTAGCCCCATAATCATACATCATTTTAAAGTCTAGTGCAATGAAATTCATCTTAGCAAAGTGTGGATCTAGATTTAGCCATTTAGTGGTCTTATAACTGTGGGCAAGTTACTTAACTTCTCTAACCCTTAGCTTTCTCACCTGTGCAATGCAGTAACAGTTTAACATCTTAAAATTGTTTGGACTGTGCCAGAGAAGCTCTGTAAAGCACTTGACACAGTGCCTGGCACACAGTAATTACAAACATTAGCAATTTTTGAGACTATAAAGTCCATTTTGAATTACGGTCCTGCTGAATTATGACTCTGTTCCCATCCGTGAAGTGTTAAGACTTCTATCCTAAAGTAAGAATTTAAATGTTCATCAAATACACCCAGGCACAATTATTGCTTTTTTTTTTTTTTAATATCAGGATCTCTGTAAATTGGTAAATTTCCCAGACTGGGATTGAATTTGGGATCCTTTTGCCTCAGCCTCCCAGAATGCTGTGATTACTACTGGTTTTTGAAAAACAAGATTCATAAATAGCATTGAGTATGGTGGCACACATGGTCGTAACATCCAGGAGGACCAGGAGACCAAGCCCTGCCTGGGTTACATAAAGAGTTCTCAAGGCTGGCCTGGACTACATAGTAAGACTCTGTCACAAAAAACAGATATTGTGTAGACAGATATAGAGACAGATATATACTAATGAATTATAATTCCTTATTAGCAATTAAACTCAGAAAATGGAATCTGGACTCAGGGGATTCCAAGTTATAAGACTTTTATTCCAGTTATTCATTCATCCTACAAATACTCATTGAGCACCAATGTCTGGGGATACAGCCATGTGCACACTAGGCAGTTAAATATTCCAGTGTAGGAAAACAACCAATAAGCCTAATATACGAAAAGTGTTCGTTTTAGCTGGGAGTGGGGGCACACGTCTGTAATCCTAGCATTTGGGAGGTTCAGGGAGAAGGAACACCAGTTCCTGGGGTACATACAGCCAATTTCAAAAAATAGTAACATAAACGAGCGTTCATTCATCTCGTATCCTGACGAATGCAGACGCTGGGCAAGTTCACTTTAGAGTTTACTTTGTTTAGACGGAGTTAAGAGCGCGCCCACACTCGCCAGGATATCGAGGAACATCAAGCGAAGTGACCGGGAGACGCAGCTCTAAAATGCCAACTGTCACCGACAAAGCGTCCCCCGGCTTTCGAGGCGGGGCTGGAGCCCGGGTTCCACCGGTGCCGGTACCGAGCCGTTTCTGCGGCGCACCGGAAGTGGACGGCAGCCTGGACC